CATGGGAGGCAGGCCACCTAGCAGGAGGCCAGGGGAGCTCTCAGACCACCTAGCAGGAGGCCAGGGGAGCTCTCAGACCACCTAGCAGGAGGCCAGGGCAGCTCTCAGACCACCTAGCAGGAGGCCAGGGCAGCTCTCAGACCACCTAGCAGGAGGCCAGGGCAGCTCTCAGACCACCTAGCAGGAGGCCAGGGCAGCTCTCAGACCACCTAGCAGGAGGCCAGGGCAGCTCTCAGACCACCTAGCAGGAGGCCAGGGCAGCTCTCAGACCACCTAGCAGGAGGCCAGGGCAGCTCTCAGACCACCTAGCAGGAGGCCAGGGCAGCTCTCAGACCACCTAGCAGGAGGCCAGGGCAGCTCTCAGACCACCTAGCAGGAGGCCAGGGCAGCTCTCAGACCACCTAGCAGGAAACTCCTTGACCCACCAGATCGCATGTCAGCCTGGGGGAAGAGGACACCTGCACTTGTCACTCATACCTGCACAGCTTCTGATGAGGTAATTTGTCTGTTTAACTTAGGAGGTTGGTGGCTGACACTGGGGACTGAATGCCCTGCTAAATGCTTTGCTTTCATTGTCTGCTTCACCATTACAAGGCCTCCATTTGGGGGGAGGGGGTTACCTCTTGGGTTTGGACCCATGTCTGCTTGCATCTAGAGGGTGAGTAAGCTCTTCAGTGAGAGCTGAGGGCCAGCCCACAGTTTGTTTTCTTGTCTTTCCTGCTCTTTGGGCAAGCAAGGGATCCAGTTTTGTTGTGAGGAGTACCACAGGCTGTGCACTTTGGAAAAATCCAGATTGCACACTGTGGACATTGCTGACCTGAAATAGTGGGGTACACTGGCCCGAGGGCTCCCTCACTGCCAGCGTCTAAGATCCTTCACTCAGTGCTCCCTCTGGCCCCATCTCTACACCCTCCAGCCCATGCACGTGCCCCTTAACCCAGATCTGGAATCCTTCCTTCCACAAATACTTGGAAATCGAGCCAGATCAGCAGCTGGGGGGCACTGCAGGGTAGGGGAAAGGCTACCCTACCCCTAAACTCTGCTCTCTCTGATGTTTGGAGGCCCAAGATCACTTGGTTCCGTGCATTTTCAGGAAGCTTATAGCTCTCCCTTGTCACCTGCCTTCACCCCCCTAGGCTTGTACCCTCAAGAGGAAATGGCACTCCTTCTCTGGACCCACAGCACCTGTGGCTTGAGGTCCCAGCTATCTTTCTTGTTAACAATTCCTCACCCCTCCCTCTCCCTGTGAGCCAGGAACGATGGCTGTGTTAACAGGTTGGGGGGCAGACAGGGGACTCTAACAAGATCGCAAGTCTCAGTCTTTGGCTCTGCTGCTAACTTTGGGTATCTTTCACCTCTCAGAGCCTCTTTTTCTCATCTATAAAGTGGGTATTCCTATTGCCCTTCCCCGAGGTTGTTCTAAGGATGCCAAGGACACTGCTCTCGTGGCAGGCAAGCAATGTGCACACATGATACAGGTGTGAGCAGTAATGGATACAGGTTTTCAGTTGGGACCTCCCTCTGTTCCCTCCATCACAACTGATGAGTGAACTCGGGGGCTGGTTTTGTGTTCTCCAGGACCCCAGTCTGCCTGCAGCCTGCTGGTGATGCCCAGAAGTTAGGACCCTGGCCCCAGGATGCTGCCAGCCTGCCCTGCAGGGAGGGAAGAAACAGAAAGGGTTACTCTGGTGATCACTGGGGCTTAAGGATGCCCCAATGCCTCACCCTGCCAAAAACTGACCCCCCATTGACCCTCCAATCCAAATCAGGTCCCTCTACAATAAATATCTCATCACACCGTTTACTTTTCCTTCATGGCACTTATCATGAGTGGTAATTTTTTATGTGCCTCTGTGGTTTTTTTAAAAACTTTTTTATTATGGAAAATTGTAAACATTTACAAAATAAAACAAGAGTTTTGTGGACTCCATGTGCCCATCACCCAGCTTCAACAATGATCAAGTCAGAGCCAGTCTTGTTTCATCTCCACCTGCGCTCACTCCCACCTCCCTGGATTAACTGAGGCATCGTGTCGTTTCATCTGTAAATATTTCAGTACGTATCGTTACAAGATGAGGGCTCTTGTATAAGACATAACCACAAACACATGGCATTTTACGTTTGTCCAAACCCATAGAATGCACAACACCAAGAGTGAACCCTAATGGGAACTACGGACTTGGGGTGATGATGAGTCAGTGTAGGTTCCTCAGTTGTAACAAATGCACCCCTCTGGCGGGGGTGTTGATAGTGGGGGAAGCTGTGCAAGTGTGGGGAAAGGGGATGTATGGGAGATCTCTGTACCTCCCACTCAGTTTTGCTGTGAACCTAAAATTGCTCTAAAAAAGTAGTCTTTAAAAATAGAAATAAAAACATACCATGATACTGTTATTAAACCTAAAAAATTAACAGTAATTCCTTGATATGTGATTACTGCTAAATGTCTATCTCCCTCCACTAGGCTGGGAGCTTCATGAGAGCTTTCTATCTTGTTCTCAGCTGTATCCCCAGCTGTATACCTAGCACAGCACCTGAGGCCCACCAGGACCTCCATAAGTGTGTGTTGAATGGGTGGATGGACGAGTGAATGAATGAATGGGAGAAAGTTGAAGGGAGCGGGGGGCCCATCTTTCTGTGGATGCTGCCCCGTGCCTTCAACATTGGGGCGGGATTGCAGCCTTGCAGGCCCAGAGTCACTTACCATCTCGGGTGTGAGCAGCACCGTGAAGGTGTAAGCCACTCTCAGTTTCTTACCCTCCTGACCTGCCTTTCGCTTAATCGGGCAGCAAGTCGCTAATCCTCTCTTGATGGCTACAGCCTGCTCCCCCTGTGCGGCTAATTCCACCTTCCGACTTAATCACCATACTTAGCACTTTCAATAAGGGCTTTTCATCTTCAGAGCCCTGCTCAGGCATTAGCTGATTACTGTAATCCGTCCAACTCCCAAGACGTTAACCACAATGGCAAGGGAAGGACCAAAGCTTCCCTTAACCTCTGGGAGACTCAGTTTCTTCATCTGTAAAATTGGGTTACTAGCCCTAACTGGCATGGCTGGTATAGGGATTAAGTAAATGAAGTCTGTAAAGTGCCTGGCACTGTCCCCTGACACCTACCAAGCCCTCAGCAATTATAATATTTTCCCTGTTTAATTTAAAAGTTAACTCTCATTGGAGAACCCAATAGATGTGGATTTGAATCCAGCTTCCTCCACTTAAAGTTAAATTTTCTGAGCCTCAGTTTCCTCATCTCTAAAATGGGGATGATGGTACCTACCTCAGAGTTCACTGAGAGGATTAAATAACATGATGCATGTACGTGACGTGCTGGGCACAATGCAGGGCACCTGGTAAGTGCTTATGGTCACTTTTCTCCTAGAAAGAAACAGAGGCAGGGGAAAGAGGCTGTGGTGTCCTGTGGGAAGTGCTAGTTACTTCTTTTCTCCTTTGTTCCCCAAGGTGTTCAAGTTGGAGACAGATGCCTATTGTGCCCACCATTATATGCCAAGCAACTAACCCTCGCCTAACCGTGTGCTCAATACACTAATAGCAGAAGGAATTTGGGGAGGTGTGGATGGGAATAATGGCCGCTCTCTGCATCTGAACAGGACTGAACAATGTACAGAGGACTTTCAGATCTCTCTTTATCTCGCAAACAGAGAAAGTAAACAGGCCAGGGATTATGCCCACACTCCACAGATAAGGAAACGGAGGCTCTGAGAGATAAACATAAGGTCCATAAATGTTTAAAACTGGAGCTTCCCCACCCCAATTTGGATGCAGCAGGAGAAGTATGCTTAGCATTGCCCTCCAGAGGGGCTGGAGTGACAGGTCTTCTTGGGACCTTCTAAACCCACAGGCATTTTACCTGCTACTTCTTCTTCCCACTATGCTTGCTTGGTATGGGACTATATCCCAGTTTTTAGTTACTGAGAATTTATACTGTGCAACTGCAAGGGATGGACACCATTCACCATGACAGCAACGAGTCAGCAAAGAGGTAAGTTCCCACAATGAGGTTGGAGATGACTCTAGGAGGAGGTAGGGGCCTTCCCCGTGTGCAGGCTGGGCCTGAGTTAGTAGCACTGCTCCAGGAACCAGGTTTCCTGGGCACTCCCTGGCCTGGTTCAGGTGGGCAGGGTCCATGTTCATAGTGTGAGCATCAGGAGGCTGATCTCTCCTTTCATAGGGAGAAGAGTAGGAAAGCCCTGGAATTTGAGCCCTAGTTTTAAAACATGAGGAAGCAGAGTAAGGGGAGCAAGACGCTGGGTTAGGCACTTTGTATACTCCCTTACATATACAAGCAATAATTTAATCTTGATAATGAAATTCTTTGGATAGGCATCATCAACCCATTTTACAGATGAGTTAACTGGTCACACAAAAGTTAATTAACTTGCCCAAAGGGTCACACAGCAAGGAAATGGCACAAACTCAGGCTTGCCTGACTCCAGGCCTATGTTGTCCCTAGTTGTAACCTGCATTCTACAAGAGAGGTAGCTGAGGCCCAGAGTGGTGCTGTGATTTGCTGAGTTACATAGCCAAATAACCACCTAGTCTGAACCCAAGAGTCCAGACTCCCAGCCCCAAAATGAGCCCATAAGGGTACCCTGCCCATGGGAGGTCTTCAATTAATATTCGTGATATAAACAAGGCTAGGGAGAGACCTGGGATGCTGGGGGTAGTGGAGCAGAAGATGAAGGACAAGTGTAGTTGGAGACCACCAACTACTGCATTTTGGCCCAGGTCTCAGTAGGAGTTGTCCCTGAGCCTTCTGTCCAAAGCAGGGCTGGGCGCCGGGTTCCAGGGAGGGTGAGAGGTGCCACACAGCACTCAGCCTCCAGGTGGCGCCCTGCACTGCAGATCTAGACTCCTCCAGGGAATCAGAGCCTGGGGAAATTTTCTTGCTGCTG